GGCGGGACGTGATGTCACAGAGGAGGATGCAAGCTCACAGAGGAGAATGTGATGTCATAGGAGACCTGTGATGTCACAGAGGAGGATGTGATTTCGCAGAGGAGGATGTGATGTCGCAGTAAGCATGTGATGTCACAGAGGAGGATGTGATGTCACAGAGGAGGATGTGATGTCACAGGTTGCTGTGATGTCACAGGGCGGGATGTGATGTCACAGAGGATGCAAGCTCACAGAGGAGAATGTGATGTCATAGGAGACCTGTGATGTCACAGAGGAGGATGTGAATTCACAGAGGAGGATGTGATGTCGCAGTAAGCATGTGATGTCACCGATGAGGATGTGATGTCATAGGGGAGCTGTGATGTCACAGAGGAGGATGTGACGTCACAGGAAACATGCAATGTCCCAGAGGAGAATGTGATGTCCCAGAGGAAGATTAAATGTCAGAGAGGAGGCTATGATGTCACAGGGGAACTGTGATTACATAGGTGAGCTGTGATGTCACGAAGGAGGATGTGATTTCATTGGAGAGTTGCGGGGTCGCAGGGGGAATGTGATGTCACCGCGGAGGATGTGATGCCACGGGAGAGCTGTTATGTCACAGAGGAGGATGTGATGTCACAGAGGTAGATGTGATGTCACAGGGGAGAATGTGATGTCACAGGAGATCTGTGATGTCACAGAGGATGATTTGATGTCATAAGAGACATGCGAAGTCACAGAGGGGATATGATGTCACAGAGGAGGATGTGATGTCAAAGGGAACTGTGAAGTCACAGAGGAGGATGTGATGTCACAGAGGAGGGTGTGATGTCGCAGTAAGCATGTGATGTCACAGAGGAGGATGCGATGTCATAGGAGATCTGTGATGTCATAGAAGAGCTCTGACGTCACAGGGAGGATGTGATGTCACAGAGGAGGATGTGATGTCATAGGGGAGCTGTGATGTCATAGGAGAGCTGTGATATCACAGAGGAGGATGTGATGGCACAGAGGAGGATGTGATGTCACAGGAGAGCTGTGATGTCACAGAGGAGGATGTGATGTCACAGAGGGTCTGTTATGTCACAGGGGAGAATGTGATATCACAGGAGATCTGTGATGACAGAGGATGATTTGATGTCAAAAGAGACTTGCGATGTCACAGAGGGGATATGATGTCATAGGGTAGGATGTGATGTCAAAGGGAACTGTGAAGTCAGAGGGGGATGTGATGTCCCAGAGGAGGATGTGATGTCACAGAGGATGTGATGCCCTAGGGTTCAAGTGATGCCACAGAGGAGGATGTGATGTCACAGAGGAGGATGTGATGTCACAGGAAAGCTGTGATGTTGTTGCAAAGCAGTTTAAATTTAGTAGTAGAATGGCTAAGGCTTAAGTAAAAGGGTAGGCCTAGAAAGCAACACATTACAGTAGTGAGTTAAGCAGCAGCCTTGTTCGTGGGAATAGAATGTACTGAAGAAGTAGAAACAATAATCAAAAGATGTAGTCAAGCATGTACGTAACGATTTGTACCTTAGATGTGGTAAGGGACTGTTAAACAGTTTCTAGGGGGGTAGGATAACTTAAGCAGATTTATGATTAAAGTAGATGATTGTTAATTGTTATAAACTACTGCACCTGGTTTACTATAGAAACTGTAATTGTTTTAGCCGTGAGAATACATGTAAACTTGTTTGTGTATAAAAGTTGAACTGAGAACGAGGGTCGTCGGAATCCTGACTTGGGGCGTTAGCCCGCAGGTTCCCGGGGTCCCGAATAAAGCACCCATAAACCAGCACTCTGTTGGTTTGTGTCTCTGTTTACGGGCAACAGTTTTGGCGACACCAGATGGAACTCCGGGGGTAGCTGGGCGGCTCACGAGCTGATCTACTCCATGCCGGCAACCAGGTGATTTCTGGGGAGACATCGACCCGTACCCGACCCGCGCCCGCCGGACAACCCTCTAGGTAAGCCCGAAGGTGCTTTATTCTTTTAGGTTTGTTGGTTGGGAGCCTGCCTATAAGACGGGATAGTGAGTGTCCCGCTGGGTTGGGCTAAAGGTACCTTGGTTGGGAAGCCTAGGCGCTGGTCGTAAGACGCGGCGAAAGCTGCGCAGTACCAGCACTCGCCTCTCAGAGGGAGAATCGGCGAGTTGGTTTTGGTTTTGGTTTTGTTCTGGTTTATATTGTTGTGTTATCGTGCTGGTCGTTAAAAGTATTGTTTTGTGTTGTTGTGTTATTGTGAATTTGATGAATTTAGATTGTGGTGTGTGTGTGAGCAAGTAGCAAGCATGATGTCATTTAAAACCTTTAGAGCACTATCCTGCACAGAAAAAGATATCCCTAGCGATTCTCCGCTTGGTTGCTTATTAAAACATTGGAAGGAAGGAAATTTTGGACAAGAGTTAAGCAAGAAACAGTTGATTGATTATTGTAATAATGTATGGCCTCAATATGAAACAGGAGGAATGCTGTGGCCCAGAAATGGATCACTGACTTTGGAAATTATAACCCCTTTGATGCGATATTTACGAGAGAATGAGAAGTGGGATGAAATACCATATCTGGATTTGTTTTATTATTTAGAACAAAACACTGAATGGCAAAAGGAATGTGGTATCTTAGTGTTGAAAGAACTGGAACTGGAGGATGATAAATGTAAGAAATGTCAAGAGCGGAGTATAAAGATATTGAAAGGATTGGATGATAAACATGAGCAGAAAATACGGTTTTCAGAACCAGAGGAGGATGTGTCTTTGTTAGTCTCCCCCGGAGTAACTCCAAGTGCGCCCCCGAGAAATAGTCTCCCTTCACGTGCAAGGGCACAATCACACACCATGCCCCCGTTAGAATCATCCTCGGATGAGGAAGAAACAGGGGGGCGGGAATGTGACAGAACTCCTCTAGCAGAACGGACTCGGAGAGGGCGAAGGGAGAGGGAAAGAAGACGGGGAGGGGGGAGGGAGACAGACGTTTCGCTCTCACCCCCTAGATTGATGGCTCCCTTGCGAGAAGCGGTTGGAACAGGCAGGGGAAAAATCATGATAAAAGTTCCTTTTTCGCCTAATGATTTACTAATTTGGAAACAGTCAGCTGGGACATATAGAGAAAATCCTGAGCGGGTGGCTCGTGTTATAAAAATGGTTATAAAAACACAAGACCCGGACTGGAATGATTTACAGGTATTAATAGATACAATTTTAGATTCAACAGAAAAAGAAATGGTATTAAAGGTGATGGTGGAGAGAGCAAAGGAAAGGATTCGTACCCTGCCTCGGGCAGCGCGGGGGACGGTAAACGATTTTGTACCGCGGGAGGATCCCGATTGGGACGCTAATAACCCCGCAGATTATAAAAAGTTAAAAATTTACCAGGAATTATTGGTAGAGGGAGTTGTGGAAGACAGAGTCGGCTAGATTCAGACTTAAAGGTTGTTTTGGAAGTAGAGGGGGAGCCGACGGAATTTAGAATAGATACTGGAGCTAGTTTTTCGGCAATGAATAAATTGATGGGGCCATTAAGTGATTCAACCGTACAAGTAGTGGGAGTTTCAGGACAGATAGAGGAAAGAACATTTCTGCGACCTCTAGATATCAAATTTAAGGGAAGAGAATTAGATCATCAATTTTTGTACATGCCCAACAGTCCTGAATGTTTATTAGGAAGGGATTTACTTTCAGCCTTCAAGCTAAAATTATATTTGAAAAAGGGAGAGTCAAGATAGAAATTCCAGAAGAAAATTTAGCAAAAATTTTTGTTGTGAAAGAAGTGGAAAAGGAAGAAATACCCCAAGAGGTTGAACAGGCTGTTGTACCCTGGGTGTGGGAGACCGGGGTTCCTGGGAAATCTAAAGCTGCTACCCCAGTTAGAATAGAATTAAAAGAAGGAGCACAACCTGTCAGAGTTAGGCAATACCCAATTAGTTTAGAAGCTAGGAAAGGGATAGCTCCAATGATCACACAGTTTTTAATTTTAGGGATATTAAAAGAATGTGAGTCGGAATTTAATACCCCCATATTTCCGATAAAAAAAAACCAAATGGTAAGTATAGGTTAGTGCAAGACTTGTTAACATCTGTTTCTGAGAAATTTCAGTGGTTTACAGTTATTGATCTAAAGGATGCCTTCTTCTGCATACCACTGGCACGGGAAAGTTGGAAAATCTTTGCCTTTGAATGGGAGAACCCAGAGACTGGACGAAAGCGACAGCTTACTTGGACTCGATTACCACAAGGATTCAAATGCTCACCCACGATATTTGGTAATCAGTTAGCAAAGGAACTAGAGGAATGGAAGACTACTCAGGTAAAAGAATCTCCTTTTTCATATATAATACTGCAATATGTAGATGACATTTTCTTAGGAGCTATAGAACAGGGACTTTGTCGTCAGTTAACTATTGAACTGTTAAACATGCTGGGCCAAGCAGGCTACCGAGTCTCAAAAGAAAAAGCACAATTAGTAAAACGGAAAGTTATCTATCTGGGATGTGAAATTTCCCAAGGAGTCCGGCGCCTGGGAACAAATAGAATTCAAGCAATATGTGCTATACCTGTGCCTAGAAATAATCAAGAACTGAGATCTTTTCTAGGAATGGTCGGATGGTGCAGGCTGTGGATTCCTAACTGCGGACTGACTGCTCGACCACTGTATGAAGCAGCAAAGGAGTCCAAGCTAACCTGGGGGACAGAGCAAGAAAAAGCATTCCAGGAACTGAAGAAAGCCCTCCAGGAAGCACCTGCCCTGGGACTACCGGACCCAACCAAGGAATTTCAGCTCTATGTTTGTGAGAGACAGCGAATGGCCTTAGGAGTACTCACTCAGCGGTTAGGATTCTGGAAGAGACCGGTTGGGTACTTCTCCAAACGGCTAGACGCAGTAAGTGGGGGATGGCCGGGGTGTCTCAGAGCTGTGGCAGCGACGGTCATTTTAATACAGGAAGCACGCAAATTGACTCTGGGAAAACACATGATAGTGTATGTGCCCCACATGGTCATAGCAGTTCTAGAGCAAAAAGGGGGGCATTGGCTCTCCTCCAGCCGCATGTTGCAATACCAGGCTTTGTTGAGAGAACAAGATGATGTTGAACTGAAAATTACTAACCATCTCAACCCAGCAGAATTCCTTAGGTCTACACAGGAAGAAGGCACCCTGGAGCATGACTGTGTAGAGACCATTGAACAAGTCTACGCGAGCAGAAGAGACTTGAAGGACGAACCACTGACAGGTCCTGACTGGGAGCTGTACACCGACGGATCTAGTTTTGTGGAAAACGGCACCAGGTACGCTGGGTATGCAGTAGTCACTTTACAACAAGTGATAGAAGCGACTGCACTACCCCCAGGTACGTCTGCACAAAAAGCCGAAATATGGGCATTGGTGAGAGCTTTAATATTAAGCCAAGGAAGGAGAGTTAACATATGGACTGACTCCAAATATGCTTTTGGGGTAGTTCATGTTCACGGAGCACTCTGGAAGGAGAGAGGACTTCTTACTTCTCAGGGGACAACGATTAAACATCGGGAAGAAATTTTACAATTGCTAGAGGCAATACATAAGCCCTCAGCAGTGACAATAATGCATGTCAGAGGACACCAGGCTGATCCAGGACGAGAGTTTCAGGGAAATCGATACGCTGACCAAGCAGCCAGGAGGCCTGCGAGAGAGGTATGGACTCAAATGGTTCTTTTACCAACCCGGAATAATCCAGCAATAGCATTCATGGAAGAGAAACCGCATTATTCACCTGAAGATGAGAAATTAGCTGTGATGATGGAAGCAAAGAAAAATATCAGGGGGTGGTATATCACTCCTACGAGACAGGTAATTTTACCAGTCAGAATAATGAAAGCAGTGCTTGAGATGGAACACAACAAGTGCCACTGGGGTGCAGAAGCACTAGTGAAATTCTTGAAAAACGAAATTTTCTCAAACCAGATGTTAACACTAGCTAAAAGGGTGAATGCAATGTGTCCTATGTGTATAAAGAATAATCCAGTAGTCAGGAAGCAAGTACAAATGGGAAAACTACAAGTAGGACAGTTACCAGGAGACTATTGGCAAGTAGATTTTTCTGAGTTGCCTAAGGGCCAAACTTTTAAAT